GGCGCCGGAGGAGGCGGAGCCGCGGCGGGCGGCGGCCTGCCCAAGCAGAGCCCCTTCCTGTACGCCACCACCTTCTGGCCCAAGGGCGTGGCGGCGGCGGCGGCGGCCACGACGGCCCCCCTCCAGCTGCAGCTGCCCTCGGCGCTGACGCTGCTTCCGCCCTCCTTCACGTCGCTCTGCCTGCCGGCGCAGAACTGGTGCGCCAAGTGCAACGCCTCCTTCCGCATGACCTCCGACCTGGTGTACCACATGCGCTCCCACCACAAGAAGGAGTACGCCCTGGAGCCCCTGGTCAAGCGGCGGCGCGAGGAGAAGCTCAAGTGCCCCATCTGCAACGAGTCCTTCCGCGAGCGCCACCACCTCTCCCGGCACATGACCTCGCACAACTGAGGCGGCTCCTCCTTCCCACCTCCCCACAATGCGGGTTCACTTTCACGGGCTGTCCTTCTCGCTCCCCCTGGCCCCACTGTAGCATTCTGGGATCTGTAGTTCTGGACACGGCCTGCGGCCTCTCTGAGAAAGAGTGGCCGAGCACCTTGACCAAAGGTAACAGTGGGCCAGAGTGCTTACTGTTCCCTCTAAGCTGTGGAGGTTCGTGAGCAAAAATTCTACTTTGTGAGCTACTGGCATTAAAGTTGTGAGCGAGCAACCTGGCTCCTGAATAAATTAGTTTGCTCTGGAGCCATCCTTCCTGAGCTGAGACAAAAATATGTGCGCCAGAGGCTAAAAAACTGTGAGCTAGCTCACCATAATTCAGCGTAGAGGGAACACTGCTACAAGGTGCTTAAAGTGGTATCAAACTGGGTTGAATCAGTAGTGTGCGGGGCATTGCGCAAATTATGCACGCAGCTGTGGGGTGATGTATGTGGGCCATCAAGTCGCAGTAGACCTATGGTGACCCCATAGGGCAGGGGTGTGAAACATAAGGCCCAGGGGCCGGAACTGGCCCATCCAGGGCTCTTGTGCAGCCCGCGAGCCACTGGTGCAAGGAAGGGAGTGTGGGGGGAGTGGACGGAGCCACTGCATCATGGCTTCTGCATGGCCGAACAACCTTGTTTGCAGCAGTCAAACATCATGGGAGCCGGCCCACTGCTGCCTCTCCAATCCACCTATGTGGGTTTTCCTTTGCACCTGTGCCTCCCAGCCCACGGGGCCTTGCAGTGAGGATACACCAACTCGGTGCTTACTAGCTGCTGTTCTTTATACAGTTTCTGTCTCCTGTACCTGGCATTACGTTTTATGGCACACATGGCCCATTTATGTCAGATCCGGCCCTCGTAACAAATTAGTTTGACACCTCTGCCGTAGGGTGTTCAAGGCAAGAGACAGTCAGAGGTGGTTTGCCATTGCCTTTCTGTGCATAGCAACCTGGGACTTCCTTGGCGGTCTCCCATCCAAGTGCTAACCAGGGCTGATCCTCTGCATAGCAACCCTAGCTTTCCTTGGGGGTCTCGCGTCCAGGGTCTACCCAGGGCCGAGCCTCCTTAGCTTCCGAGATCGGATGAGATCGGACCATCCAGCTCAAGACAGGGTGATACCTATATATGCGCACACAAAAGCCACCCTCTGCGAAAGAGAATAATTCTGGCGTAGTCTCCTGGATGCCACCAGTGCTTTGACAAAATGCTAGAGGAGGCTCCTTGATTGGAAGCCATTCTGCAGTCACCTCTTGACTTGAGCTGGAGAGCTGCAGAAGACTCCACAGACCACTTCTTCCAGGCATGCCTTCAGCTGAATGATTTTCTAGGGAAATCCATGCGCACCCCCTTGCAGTTTCAGAGAAGTTTCAAAATGCTTAGTTTGGTGAATTAAGCAGAGGCCACTGACCACTTTTCTCTTTTTTTGAGCAGCCAAAGACCTCAACGGAGCTGCTGTGTGATAATGGCTTAAGAACACCTTGCCTGTAGGGTCAGGATACGTAGCAGCACTCCCATGTGCACTTGTGTGGCAGCCCTGTTGAATTGGATGGAAGTTCTGGGTGTGTAGGATCAGACTGTAAGCAGGGTGGCTTAGACCAGGGGTGTCAAACATAAGGCCGGGGGGGGGGCGGAACCAGCCCATCCAGGGCTCTTATCTGGCCCACAAGCCACTGGTGCAAGGGGGGGTGCACAGAAGGCAGCTCAGGGCGGGCGAGTAAGCAGCGCCACTACAATTGTGGCTTCAGCGCAGCAAAACAACCCTGTCTGAAGCAGTCAAGCAGAACCCCTTTGCTTCATGGGGCCTTGCAGTGAGTGCACACCAACCCGGAGCTTACCAGCTGCTCTCTGGTACCCGGCATTACATTTTATGGCACACATGGCCTGGCCCGACTAGAGTCCCATTTATGTCGGATCCGGCCCCTGTAACAAATGAGTTCGACACCTCTGGTTTAGACCAAGTGGTGTGAGGAGGACCAGTGCCTAACACAAGGCCCTATGTCATTCTGACCTAAATCGTCACTAAAAATGCCTGTGAGAAATTAAGCTATGGAGGCCCTAAGGGGAGCTGAGGTTTGCACACCAGGTACCACAGAAGTGCAGTCACGGAAAGTGGTCTGACCATGACCCTACAGGTGTCAATTTTGTTTTAGACCAAGAGTAAACATGCTCAGGAGCTCTGCGTGTACCGCTAGGACCGTATGCACGCTGTATATGGGACCTCTGGAAAAGCAGCTTGGACATTGTGGGCAATTAGGGTTGGCCACAAGCCTGGAGAGAAAAAAGTCCCGCCCCCTTTAATAGAGGTGTAATGTGTGCAAATGGGCCGTTGGAGCTTTTCATGATACGGTATCTGCTCATAAAATTACATCAGTGGCAAAATAGCATCCTTTTTTGGTCACCCAGTCACAGCTGACATGGTGACTCAACAGGGTTTTCAAGGCAAGAGATGTCCAGACGTGGTTTGCCATGGCCTGCCTCTGTGTCACGACCCTGGGCTTCCTTGGTGGCCTTCCACCATCCAAGTACTAGCCAGAGCTGACCCTCCTTAGCTTCCAAGATCTGATGAATGAATAACACTTGGAATTCACTGCCACAGGAAGTGGTGGCGGCTACAAGCATGGACAGCTTTAAGAGGGAATTAGATAAGCATATGGAGCAGAGGTCCATCAGTGGCTATTAGCCACAAGGTATAGATAGGGGCTCTGGGGCAAGTGATGCTCTGTATTCTTGGTGCTTGGGGGGGGGGGTTAACAGTGGGAGGGCTTCTAATGTCCTGGCCCCACTGGTGGACCTCCTGATGGCACCTGGTATTTCTGGCCACTGTGTGATACAGAGTGTTGGACTGGATGGGCCTTTAGCCTGATCCATCATTGGCATCTCTTATGTTCTTATGAGTTCTTGGGCTGTCCAGGTCAGGGCATTAACTCTATTAAAGGCATTAACTCTATTAAAGGGCGTAGGGTTCCCCCCCCCCTTCAGCCAGCTGGCCATCCTAATTAACAAATAAAGCAAAGTCCCCCACACTGTTGATGAAAATCTAATGCCTGTGGATAAGTTTACCTTGCAAAAGAAATTTATAGATTGGCAGGTGGGTTGATTTCCCCCCCCTCCTTTTGTTTTCCAATGCACGCATTTTCACTTTCCAAAAAAAGTAAATAACTTTGAAAAAGTACATTTTTAAAATGTCATATATTGCAACATATTGATGCATTTGTCATAACGTTTCTACTTAAATTATTAAGCACTTATGGTTTAGCTGTAATAAGAAGTATATGTAAGGGTAAAAAAAAGTTTATTTTAGATATAAAGCAAAATTTTAAAAAAAACTACTGGAGGAGGATGCATTGCTTTTCTGCATTACTTGATAGTTTCTTCCCCCCCCCTCTCTCTGCAAAAATAATAGTAATAAAAAATCCATAAAGACTTGAATCCATGTTACATTTCCGAGGAGGAAAGTGCATGTTCCCCATGAAAATGGCGATGATGGACTTCGGTGCAGAATGTCATCGGTTCTGTAAATACGGATTTCCTTTTAATACAAAGTGTAATTTTGTGCCAGTGAAATGAAGTCTGAATAGTTATGTGTTTCTTTTCTTTCTTTTTTTCTTGGGGAAAAAAAAAAGATTTATTAAACTTTATAGTTTATCTGGGTATGTTGGATGCTTTGACAATAAATGACTTTATTTTCTTCAAAGCACTTGGGTGTGTTGCTAAGGTCTTCTTTAGGAAACCAGGGCACGGAGAGGGGGGAGCTACGTGCCTAGGAAGGTTCCAGGGCTATCCTGTACCGTGTAAGTTTTGATTCAGGTGGGGCAGCCATGTTGGTCTGAAGCAATAGAACAAAGTTTGAGTCCAGCGGCACCCTTAAGACCAACAAAGTTTAATTCTGGGTATCAGCTTTCATGTACATGCTTATCTGAAGAACTGTGCATGGACACAAAAGAGCCAGTTTGGTGTAGTGGTTAAGTGCACGGACTCTAATCTGGGAGGACCGGGTTTGATTCCCCACTCCTCCACTCTCAGCTGCTGGATGACCTTGGGCAAGCCATAGTTCTTTCAAGGACAGTTCTCTCAGAGCTCTCTCAGCCCCACCTACCTCACAGGGTGTCTGTTGTGGGGAGGGGAAGGGAAAGGAGTTTGTAAACCACTCTGAGACTCTGAGTGAAGAGCGGGGTATAAATCCAATCTCATCTTCTTCTTCTTATACACAGAATTAAATGATGTTAGTCTTAAAGGTGCCATTGGACTCAAACTTTGTTCTAGCATGAGTTTGGGGTGTGTTTTTTTTTAATGGCTACTTGCTACCCTGTTGGGTCACATCTCATTTTTGTTTTGGCCACAGCAATGCAACTCACGGCTTTCAGAAGACCCCTGAAGGACAAAGTCATGCACATCAACTTGGAAAGAAGTTCCATTACGTTCAGTTTACTCAAAAGCGCTCAAGGCACGCACTCCTAAACACGCATGCCTGCAAGCACATTCTGTCTCGATTAATGGGGTTTACCTCTGAGTAAACATGCAGAAATGCAGCCCTATAAAAATGCAGAACCTGACAGACATGGATGGTGTCCCCCCCTGTTGGGTGATAGTGAGATATTGAAAAAAAATGGTATTTAGCAGAGATAAGATAGTCCAGCAGAGCCAGAGTAAAATAATTCAGACTGAGAGTCCATGTGTGATTAAAATAGAAAGTTTTTACTAAATTCTAGCATGGGGGAAGGGTAACTGGGAAGAAAATAACAACACAGCTAAATAGGCTACATCCTTACTCTACAAAAGACAAAACTAGACGAGAGAGATTATGGCTGCTCTTCTTCTTCTTCAGAACACCAACCAAAGACGGGAAGAGAAGCCATAAAATGGTAATACACCTTGACACTTTGGTCCCAATCAAACTCCTAGATCAGGGAGAAAATTCCCGGGTATTCTATATCTAAAGAACACTGGTTACATGAGAAACATGTGACTTCC